ACTTAGAAATATTTTGAGGTATTTTAGACTTTTTGTTTAATATTTCAAACTACAACACGATTAAATTGCAGGAAATTGACGACGATCGACGTTCCCCAACGTTTTTACAATATCGAACAATATTGTTTTGCAATATTGAATATACGTTATAAAAGGGGTCCATTTTTATATAGTACAATATTTCGCTACGATATTGTACAATGTTCAAAGCTAAGTTTTTACGATATCGTTTTTGTGAATTGTGCTACTTGGGTAGCGAGGCGTTATTNAAGTGAGCTGTGTTTGAAATTTTGGTATAAAAAGGTTTTCTGAAAACTCATAGAGCTCCTCAGAATGGTTACAAGAGAGCTGAAAGACTTTTTTTTTTTAAACTGTAATAATAATAATTATATTAAAGAAAATTATTAATTATTTCAATATTGCGTACTCACACCTGCTATTTCACGACTACCAGATTCGAGCTCACAACCTCGAGCTCTCCAACCAGCAGTGTGTGCTACGCCTTAACCGACTATGCTACAGAAGCGCCAGCAGTTTTTGTAGTGTAGTACATCTCTTCTGTTTTAATATATATTTTAGAAAAATCGCACAACGTTTTCAAGTTAATTTAATTTACATTTAACTAAAAGTCTAAGAATGAATGCTTTCCAAGGAATATTGTTGAAACTTAAAGCCGAAAAAAGTTTTGATAACAACAAAATTCTTTTAATTGCGCTTCAGTTCATTTAGAGCATGGGATTCCGTGTTTCATTTATATAAAGACCTTTTCGGAAGATTTTCAAAAATTTAATAACATTTTTCAGAACTTTTTTTTTTTAATATTTCAAACTACAACACGATTAAATTGTAGGTAATTGCAAAATATAAGTGAGCTGTGTTTAAAATTTTGGTATCCATAAGGTTACAGAAACAATAAAAGACAGAATTCTTTTTAATAATAATTATTATATTAAAAGAATCCCTAATTATTTTAATAGTACGGTTGTTTACACGAACTTACTCATGGAATTTTTTTTATGGGAAATGCTGAAAAATTGAAAAGAAAAAAAAAGATTTATTTTAACAAAACGACGTTTTGCGTGGCACCCGGCCCTCCCTCTACAAATGAAATTTTATGTGTAAAATGTCGTAAAATTGAAATGAAAGAAGTTTTATTTTTTGAAATAGACGTTTTACGTGTTTCTCCTCCAAACCACAACCAGCAGTTCCCTATCTCCCAACTTCCACTCCACAACCAGCACATACCACCCTTCACATCACCACCAACAAGTGAACTTTCAGTCACGACACACTTAACGAACAGGCTCTGCGTACACACACCGGCTCTTTTACAACCACCAGATTTGAACCCACTACCTCGAGCTCTCCAACCAGCAGTGTGTGTCACGCCTGAATTGACTGCACTACCGAAGCAGTTTTTACAGTGTAGTATGTCACTTCTGTTTGAAAATATATTTAAGAAAAATTGCACACCATTTTCAAGTAAATTTTATTTACATTTAACTAAAGGTTTAAGAATGTATGCTTTTCAAGAAACAAATTTAAATATCATTTTGATAACACCAAAATTCTTTTAATAGCAAATTAGTTCATTTAAAGCATGGGTAGTCGAGTTTCAATCATATGAATGGCGACTTCCTAATTAACGGCATGAGTTCCTTACACTACTACATACCATTCAAAAGTTAAACCTGAACTAAATTACAGCTTTCTGAAACAACTTTTTTTAATATTTTTAAATTAAGTTACAGCTTTTTTGAAGTGAAAAGTTATTAAGTTTTCTTTCTCAAATCTGTTCTGTTACCTTTATTCACGTCGACTTTAAAGTGCTCGGAACCTTTCTAATTTCTCCTCCTTAATAATTTTTGTAACGATTGAAGATCTTATATCATCAGGTATATGTATTTTTTTTTTTTTTAATATGATGAACACTCTCAACAATTAAAACATATCTTCAGAAGATTTTCAAACGTTCAATAACAATTTTTAGAAGTTTTTTATACTTACTTAATATTCTAATATCTACATTAGAACATTAAGTAAGTATTACCAGAAGTTTCTATTACCAGTAGTACCGATTTTCCTCGAATTACAGGAGGAAGTAGTTTGATTGTGGTAAACTTTATATCTGAGTTGCCTCGAGCAACAGCTTAATGACAGATGATACTGAATTAAGTTAGTTTTTTATTTTGATGGGATAACATCTTTTGCTTAATCTAATAATGTAAAGTCATTCAGAAGAGCAGCAAATAATAAATTTAAAAAAAATCATATGAATAATTTCAGTTTTATTATTTGCTTCGATATAAAAAGATTGCTTAAAGTCAATTGGTTTCGCAAGCTGATAATTTTTCCATATTTAAAAACTTTAATTTAATAATTTTTGTTTTAATAACTTAATATTTTAACAACTTTTCAAATTACTTTGATAGTGATGTTATCTAAATTCCTATGTTTTCATTAAATAAAAAGCTTAGGGAACATATAAAAAAAATTTAGTTGTAATATTGAATAGCGGAGTGCACTGTTAAAATGGAAATTTATAACCGGTTTTAGAGTTCAATATATAAAACAACGTGTAATATTAATGCTTTAGCTTAAATTATTAAAACTTTTCTAATCCTTCTTTGAAATCACAATTATAAAAAATTTCAGACTTCTCAAAATAATATTAGAGTATTTATGCACGACAAAGATCCTGAAGACAATACGAAATTACTAGTTAAATGGTGAAGTTATTTTAACCATTGATTAATTTAAAGATTGGTCTGTAAGAGTGCAATTGGTTGGTAACAACTGTTTTACAGATTTAAGTGATTTAAAATCTCTTATTAGAGTGAGAAAGAGGCAACTTTTCTAACTGATTAGAAATAAATTTCCTGCATGAGGTCTGCATTATTACAATCGTTTAAAAATATTTGCATTTAAGCTCTCACTGCGCTGCGGTCAGGCCGACAGGCAAACACCAATCGTTTTTCTCTAACCAACAGACTATGTAAACAAAATATAAAAAACAAAAACAAATAAAACTGATATATTTCTCTTGCAGGATGCTTCTTAGATTATTTGTGAATTTACAATAAAATTAGTATTCAATATAATACAATGTAAAAACATGTTGTGCGTTATAAAGTAATCGCTCTAGCGCCTATATATAAAAACCCACTTTCTGTTGTTAATTTTCCCAGAAATGAAATCCAACTGAAGTAAACATATAACGGTTCGATTATAAAGTTAAATTATTATTAATTCCAAATTTTAACTGTTTTACACTCAACATTTTAAATGAATATTTTTGATTGATAATAATAATTAAAATAGTATAAATTAACACCATGTTTTTCAAGAGAGCGAGAAAGAAGAAAACAATTCGAATTATTAATTAGAATAATTAAAATTCGATTTATTAGATTAATTAATAGTTAGAATTTTGTAATACTAGAACAAGAAACGTTGAACTCCCTTTCTGAAGACGGAGAGAGGGAGTTACCTTCATTACAAGCACGAAAGTGAGTTAATTCCGTTAATAATAAATGCTGTTGATAGTGAGAAAACTTTTATAAATTTGCGGAGAACTGTCATAGGTTTAACAATATTCTCAGAGATATAAAAAAAAGAAGAGTTATTCCGTTTTTGTACTGAATTTCAGCTTTTATCCATAAAAATTTGTTTAAGCTCAATATTTTTTATTCTTTTTACGTAAATATTAATTTGAGACGACTCACATTGAAAATATTTTTAGCAAAAATTAAAAAAAAAATATATTGGAAGACTTTACGGAACACCCGGAAAGTATGTGTAAAAAATTAGGTCATATTTTGTAGTATATTAAAATGGAAAAAGAAAAAAAAAATAGCTTGGGGGCCACGAAATTTTTTTAATGACTGAAATACCTATATTGCCCAAAAGCAGTCAAAATGAACAAAAGAATAACTAATGTATAAAGAAATTTGTTTAAATTAATTTTTAACATTTTTGATATTATATTCAGTTATTAGCAAATATCAACCATAAAAATAATTATAAAAGTCACAAATTTCTGAGAAATTGTGTCATTCTATACATCATTGTTCTTCTAATTGAAATTTAAAAAGCAGTCGAAATGACTTCCTTGGACAATCTAGCGTTAAGAAATAAAACACCAGAAAAGTCAAAATAATTTCAGGTTTGCTCTAAAATCGCAAAATACGTGATGAGCGTTTAAAAACCTTCAAAGAATGAATTGAAAAGTTTTGATTTCCACCACATCCTCTCCAAAAAGCGTTCAATTTGGCCAGAGCCGGATTATATCTTTCGTAGGCCCTAGGCATAGCCGTTTTTGGGCCCTCCCCTCCTTCCCCCACTCCTCCCCTCTTTTCAAAACATATGCTAAAATTTTCTTGCATATTTTTGCGTTCAACAATGAATCAAGATCGCTTGGCATCGCTCGCACTTATGTCTATTGAATACGACATTTTGCGTAGTTTGGAATTCGACAGCATAATACAAGATTTCGTTGAATCCAAAAATCGCAAAAAAGTAATATATTAGATCATAAGATTCTGCAAAATAATTTATTACCGAAAAATATTATATTTTTATTTGTATCTTCATAATTTTGTGCAAAATACACTTGTTGTTTTTAAAGCTAAATTATTTTTGTCAACAAATTTTTTTCTCCCTAGTTTTTCGTAGGCCCGGCACGTGCCTAATGTGCCTATAGGTTAATCCGGCCCTGAATTTAGCCGTCATATAAATTTATTTATTTATTTAAAATTTCCTTTAATTTTATTTAAGAAAAACATTTTTTTGTGTATTGATGTTCTTAATTACATTTAAGGAGCATCAAAATTTTTTAAGTGCTTGGGGCCTCTAATGAGGTTTTTCATCCGACACTGAAATAATGCACGAATTTTTGTCACCTTTTTATTATTTTATTTTGAAGTCATGAGTTAACGAATGAGTTAATCAAAACATAAATAATGGAATCAGTTGGAACTCTGAGTGTTCAATAATCACCGTTTGATGTTGAACTGACGATTTGCTTTCACCTAGAAAAATAGAAGGCCAAAGGGGACCCGCACAGCATCCCTTGAAAAGTAGGCCTCGGTCACTCTCGTCTTCGTGAAGGGAAAGTTGGAGAACCGGTCATATCATAATCATACAAATATAAAGAGATGATGTTCACATTGAACGAGGAAAATGTCGTTGATAGTGGTGTTCGGGTTGCTCGCTGCTGTTTTGGCAGAAACTCCGCATCAGGTTCACATATCCCTCGGAGGTGAGTTGTTGTTCTATATTTCTTTTCTTTTTTATATATAATTGTTATTTTCTAGTAAATTGTTGACATAATATGACGTAGAAGCATCATAAGACGATGGATCTCTCCTTTAAATGACTTCATGATTTAATTGAGTATTTGGAACAGAAATAACTTTCAGGTGTAAATGATATGCTGAAATTGGAAATTTAAGTGAACTGAATTTAAGTGAAAACCATTTTGGTTATTAAAAAAAGAGAATAGATTTAGAAAAGGAAACCGATGCTTAAAATGAGGGATGTGATTAAAAAAAAAATTTAAAACGTTTGAATTAATGTTACAATTCTTTTCAATTTATTATTTTAAAAAAAATCGAGTATGTTTAAACTCTACTTTCTCCAGCAACATTGCAAACTACATAACATGCGTCATTTATTGGAGAAAAAAATTTTTTTATTGGCCCTATTTTTAGACGTTTTATAGGATTTCTATGTAAAATCTTAATTATCATGTGATACTTTACAGCATTATTGTTTTTACGCGACAGAAACCGGTTTACACTTGCTTATGTTAGCTTATCAATTAGTTAATATTGTAATGCAATACGTTTAAAAAATAATATATTGATGCAAGTGGGAAGTATATAAAAACTCTCCTCAATAAAAACCCTTTACATGTATGTTTAAACATAACAGTATTGTGTATAAACTAGTGCAAAACAAGTAGTTATTAAAACACTACAGTGCCCCGAATAATTTAGTCTAATTATTATAATATACCAATACAATACCTGATATAATAAATATTTATATAACATATTATATAACATATCGTCTAATTTATCCAATCGTGAACTCTTTATTATATATCGTCTAATTTTACCAATTGATGCACGAGACTAAACAAGTCCAAACAAGTCCAAACCAGTCTTGTAAAAACAATAAAGCTGTATAGTATCACCTGATAATTAAGATTTTATATAGAATATTACAGTGCGTGTAATAATTTGG